GTTTGGATGGATGAAGAAGGGATTGATGGATTGAAGATAGGTAGATGAATGATGGACAGATGGCTAAATACATGCATGCATCCATGGGTGATGGGAAAATAATGGGGAAAATGACATTTATATAATACTATTCAATAATAAAAAATTAAATTACTTTACCTGCAGTCCTATGGATGGAGCTGGAGGATACTAAGTTAAATCTGTCAAGTATAGAAAGACAATTACCACATTCTCTCACTCAAATGTGCAAGCTAAAAATGTTGACTTCATAGAACTAATGCATTGAACAGTGGTAAGTTAGAACATAGAACGAAGGGTGAGATTCATCACATACCACAATACAGTTAAATAGAGGATCCTAAGAATTGTCAGTCCAGAAGGATCATGTTTCACAACAACTTTTATGTTGTATAAATAACTAGATGTGAGGAGTTTGGAATTTCTCAACACAAAGAAATTACAAATATATTTAGGAAATATTTTATATTCTCTTCTATTGTTGGATAAAATGCCCTCACCAAAAGCAACGTTGAAAGGAAAGGGCTTATTTCATAGTACACTATCAGGACACAGTCCATCACTGAAGAAATTCAAGGCAGAAACCGAAAGGCAAGAACCTAAAGGTAAGAACCATGGAGGAATGCTTATTGCTGGTTCATGTTTTGCAATTTCATTATAGAGCCTGGGACCACCTGCTTAAGGAATGGTGTCACCCACAGTGAGCTGATCCTGCTTACAATTAATAATCAAGGCTATCCTTTATTTATATGCCCAAAGACCAATCTGATCTGGGCAATTCCTTATTGTCAAGTTGTCAAAGCTAACTAATTTCATTTACCCTGAAATGGTCCCTACACATTACTGTAGAGCATATCTCTCTGCGTACACCTTACCGTCACACCAACGAGGACCCATTATAATGTCTGAACTGCAGCAGAAGGAGCTGAAGACATCAGAGAGAGATAACAACTACAGCAGAGGACTTTGGAGTCTAGTTGCTGCAAACAGTACAGAACCCACTTTCTAGCCCTGTGAACATGACACCTCTCATTTAGAGGTCTATTTGCCTGGGCTTCTACCCTCCAGCATTATCAATCATCTGGCTTTCCACAACAGAAACATCATTAAGTGTTGTTGGGTAGCTATTTCCTCCAGATTGAAATAGCCCATCCAGAAAGGGAGTGAGGAGCCTCCTCAACTAAAATTCACAAGGAAGTTACAAGACTCATGAGGCCCCTCCCTGAGCTTATGTAAGATATAAATAATTGCTGGGGGAGAGGGAACTCTTGAGAGGCTAAGCATGCAAGTTGAGCAAAGAGCTCTAGGAATACATCTTTGTGAGTCATCACTCCTGCTAGGTGGGCCTTGGGTGATGCAACTGTCTTTGAGTCATTCAAGCTCCTGTAACCCCTCTCTCCTGCTCCATGGAAGAAACCCATTAGTTCACTAAGCTAGACTTGGGTGGAGTCATATCCCCTCAGGGAAAGTCACAGCAACAGGGGTGCCAAATGGCAAGAAAATAAGTAGGTCTGAAGAGATGAAGCAAGCACCTGCATCGGAATTGGATGTGTATAACACAGCCTTTAGAATTACCTAGGCAGGGCAGTGGTGGTGCATGCCTTTAATCCCAGTACTCAGGAGGCAGGGGCAGGTGGATCTCTGTGAGTTCAAGGCCAGCCTGGTCTACAAAGCTACATAGGGAAACCCTGTCTTAAAAGGGGAAAAAAATTATCTGAGAGGAAATTACAAATAACATGTGTTAATGTCTTTCATGTAAAATGCAGACAATTTGCAAAAACAGGCAGAACAGAAGAATCGATGGAAACTAAAGAAGAATCCAAAAGAAATACTAGATATTGATAACAAACACATATAACAACAACAACAAAAATAAATGAAGAATTCTTCTGACTGGTTCACCAGTGGACTAAACTTAGCTAAGAGTCAGTGAACTTAAAAAAAAAAAAAAAAAAAAGAGTCAGTGAACTTACAGATGGTGCCATCAAAAAGTTCCTAAACTGAGACCTGGGTGTGATGGTATATGCGTATAATCCTGGCTTTTAAAACGTGGAGACAAGAAGGTAAAAAGTTTAAGGCCAGCCTCAGCCTCATGAGAACTTGAGGCCAGCCTGGTCTACATAAAATCTATCTCAGAAAAATAAAAATAAATAACCTCAAATTAATTAATTATCCTCCTTCAAATAAGCAAATAATCCCCCAAAAAAATATATATATATAAAAAAAACTCACCCACCTCTGTCAATTAAATTAGGATTTGTGAATTTCACTTGGTATTTTTGTTTGTATGTTTGTGTTTGTTTTTTTCTGAGCATTGCTAGCAATGACCTAGAGACTCAGGCTCTGTGACAAGGGGTGACTGCCCTGTAAAATGACTGCTCTTATGGGAGCTTAGGTCACTGGTCAGCTCTGCTCCTTTCTCTAGTAATATGTCACCACCTTCTCATCTGTGAAGCCCCGCCCATCCTTTCCCCAGGATTCTCATTGACCTATGCCACAAGCTGAGAGGCAGATAGCATTCAGGGGGAGGAGGCTGGCACCAAGAATGGCAGTATGACACCTTGGGCCGTTCTGCAGAGAAGAGTTACAGTGTTGAGCATAGGGCAGTGTGAGTCAGGCTCCTTCAGTGGGCTTGAGAGCTGAAGACAGTGGAGGGATCTGGGGAACGGGGTCTGGCCTGGCCCCGCCAACTGCTAGTGACCAGGGAATGGGTCCCAGCACTGACTTGTGAGCCTGTGATGCACCTCCTCCCAGGGACTCTTCATTGCTGCACCTCCTCCCAGGGATCCGTCATTGCTATCATGCTAGGTGCTTTTGCTTTCAAACTTCAGCATGTCTTTTTTTTTGTCCCTACCTTGTTTCCGTCCCTTGGCTTGTTACCTGTCTTCTCTTAATGTACTGTCTGCTCTCTGCTGAGAGACCTTAAGTAGAGACTCCCAAGTTTTGCGTAAATAGTGTGACAGAACTTTTGTGATATGTTTTTCTGGGTTTTTCCTTATCCTATCACCACAGTCACCTCCAGCTTGACCAGATTGTAGTTGGGGGCATCTTCAATATGTAATTAATATTTAAAACCAGTAAGCAAACTTTGAGTAAAGCAAATCAGCCTCCATGAACGTGGGTAGGCCTCTTCCAATTAGTTTTGAGCCTTAGAGTCAACATTAAGATTTCTGGAGGGAATTCTGCCTCAAGACTTTAGCACAGGGGCCATGCCTGAGTTTGCCATGGATTTCATACTAGCCCACTCCCACAATCACGAATTCTTGATGCCCCCAGCTCTTCTATTTCTCTAGCGAACTCTAACAGAATGTTTCGTCAAGTTTGTTGTCAAGAAAGAATTCATCTTTCTGCAATGTGTGCAAACCCACATTTGTGACCAAAGGGAAATTTTGTTGAGTAAAAAAAATATTCTTTGATGGTATAAAAAGAAATCCCAAGTGCCCTTCAACTTCGTTGCTTTTAATTAATTCTCAGCTATATTTTGGTGTAGCAGGACATTGCCCTCTGGCATGCTGGTGTCAACATTAGTGCTTTTTATTTTAATTTTTAAAAAGCCATTGCAATTCTGACTTTTCTAATGTATTTACTTCCAGCTTCTAGACTTTGGTGGCACTCCTAAAAGCAACTGATGCCCAGAAGAATCAGCAGAGCAGGACCAGCCATAGCCCCAATTCTCAATAACAGGGAAAAAATGTAAGATGCCACTATCTGAGCCTGTCTGGAAGATTCTGGCTCACAAGAGTAGCGCCAGTGTCACGGTCCCTCTCCGGCGGCTACTGCCATGTGTTCTATCCCTGTCTCCATTTGCACCGCTATCTGGCATAGGTGGCTTTTATTCTTCAGTAGGAGATGGTGTTTTACTTCTTTATAGCTTTCTTTACTGGAAATTTCTTGTTGTTGTTTGTCTTATCATTTTAAATCCAGCTGTTGGGGTAATTGGGGAAGTTCCCAATGGCAGCTGGAAGTGTAGCTCAGTTGGTGGAGAGTTTGCCTAGCATGCAGGAAGCCCCAATTTCAGCCCACAGGATCACATCAGACTGAGCTTTGCATGCTGGTAATCTCAACAGTGGGAAGGTCACTATTAGAAATGGTAAAATGAAAGAAAGCTCCCAATTGGGCTAGTACCTGCACAGCAGCTACTGTATTCCACACAAGACATGAACATGTCTGAAACAGACTAACAATTCACCTATTTACAGATAGACTCACACTTTATTTTTTGACAAATGTAAGATAGAAAAATATCATATTGAGAATATAGCAGTTGCTCTTTTTGTAACAGAGTTAGGAAGTGTGCAGTGTGACTCAGATTGCTTTCCAAGGTGGCCTGTCTCCCATCTGGCTTTTCTACAGTCCGCACTGAATTACATTCCAGTCACTACATTTGCTTGCAAGAGCATTACATGGGGGGAAATGGGCTGTTTAAAAGGTTATAGCATTCACTAATAAATATTATAAAGCAAGGAATCCAAACAGCCTTTAATATATATAATTACAAAGAGCAAACTTCAGACTTCATAATGAAAGCTAAGAACATGTCTTCAAAATAGCTTTAACATTTCCTATTAATATATAATAGAATACTCATTAAAAAACGAAGGAAGGAAAATTTGAGTAAACACGGTATTGCAGATGACCCGAGAAGTAAACAATTCAGTGTATTTATAAATGTCATTTCAACAATATACTCTTACCTCACAGGCAATAAAAACTATAGTCTGTCATCAGAAATGTGCCCCTGAATGTGATCTTTGAACTTACTAAGTGATGTCATCATTGCTAGAAGCCATCTTTGGAAGGGGAGGCTGAGGGACTCGGTGCATGCAAATATTTGGTTATGATTATCAAGACGAAAATAAATGTCCAGGAGTCTGAAGCTGAAACCACTTTTGATCTTGTTAAGCACCTGCACGGGCATCTTTCTTCTGTGGCACCCCAGGCAAAGTCCCACTAGAGCACTAATAAATAATAAATTGGTCCCTTTCAGCTTATCTTTGCTTCTCTTCCCCTGCTCTTCAGAATAAAACTGGAGGCCCCTCCTTAGACATTTCTACCATACAAAATAACTGTATGTACATATGTACATACATGCATATCTTTTTCAAGGACTGGGTAACTCCTCATTTTCTATCAAATAATCCTTCTTCATATACTTGGCTCCCCTAACCAACCTCCACACTTCCAAGTAAGCATCCTTCAGGGATCTCCTACCCACTTCATCGGAATGCTCCTCTATTCTTGAGCTCCCAGCTCCCAGGGAGACCCCTTTGGGGCTGCCCCTTGACTCTTGCCCACCTTGCTGTACGGAGCCGCCTGCCCCTTCTGCACCCTCTTGCCAGCTATTTCCACCCTCGGCGGGCAGCTCCTCCATAGCAAAAGGCAGCTGGTCCCCGCTTGGCTGTGATTCCTCTCCCGCTGCCTGAGATTCCAAATTCTCATAGTTGCTTTGCCTTCTGGTCTCCACGAATTTAGCCACGCAGTAAATGATGGAGCCCAGGGTGTTCACCACGACTCCAGCAATAAACAGAGAGGTGGGCTCCACGTCGCTGAAGGCCACCATGCCCACCGTGATAGTGGCTATACTCTTCACCACGCCCACGAAGCTGGTGGTCACCGCGGAGTTGATGTAGGTACAGTGCAGTGTGGTGAAGTTCATGGCACAGCCGATCAGGATACAGGCCACGAAGATGGAAACCATAGCCGGGTCCTTCCAACCTGGGAAAGTCCAGGCGTGGATGGAGTCGGTGCTGGCGAATGAGAAGATGACCAGCAGAGGGGTGGCGGAGACCGCAATGACATACTGTGCGGTGAGAGGCCCGTGTTCCGTGTCTGCGCTCGCCTTCTGGATCAGCACCAGGTAGGCTGCGTGCACCAACACCGCCAGCACGCCCGTTACGTACCCAACGGGGTCGCCTGTCAGGTCACCAGCTCCTGAATGCACCAAGACGGCGCAGCCAGCGCGGGAAAGAAAAAAAGAAGAGACACAGTGTTGGTGCCGGTAGGTATCCACTCTGGAAAGCATGTCGCGTTAGAAAAACCCTCTTAGCATCCCACTTCTGCCCACGAATTTCCCGTGTACCTAACAGAAGCCCTTCATGCCTCCATCACTGTGTCAAAATGAGACAGCCAAGCCCAGTCAATGCACCCTGTCTTCCTTATGTCAGGATGAAGGCCACCAAGAGCTCAGATGTTCTCGGGGTGGGCCCCTTGGCGTCTCTGAACCCGCAAGGAGGTCACCTGAGCGGGTGGTTCCTCCACCCCGCCCAGTGGGCCCCGGAAGGGAGAGGGAACCCCAGTTAGTGGCCTCACCCGGGTGCGGGACGGGACCCCGGAAAGAGGGTTTCCCGCTGCTGGCTTCTGGATCCCTCAGGGTCCTCCCGGCCCCTCCCACACCTGAGCCCCAGGCCGGTCCCTTCTGCCTTGCGCCCACCCGAGTGCCCCGAGAGAGCCTGGGTCACCCAGGCTTCACTCCCATCTCTCTAGCTTTCCGGCCCAGCATGATCCGAGGAAGTTCCCGGGCCCCTTCCTTCCGGCTCAGTCCGGGGCTGGACTCCAGCTCTCGGCTCAGGCGACTCTCCATTCCTCCCCGAGGAAAGGGCTGAACCAGAGAGACCCGGGTGGGGGCGACGCTCTGAGAAGAGGGGCGGAGGAGGAAGCCGGGGCACCGGAGTTTGGGGGGAGGGCTGATGGAGGAGGCTGCAAGGCTGGGGAAGGCTGCGCAGGGTTTCAGGAGCAAAGTCCCTTTTGTGAGCCCAACGACCACTCAAAGCTCTCCGCCTCACTCTGCCTCAGTCTCCCCATCTGGCAGTGAGGGCGTTGCACCGAGTGCTCCCCGCGGTCTCTACCGGGTGGGGTGGGTGGACCGGGGGGTTGGCGCGGGTCCCGCTCACCTGCCAGGGCGGCGCCGCAGGTGGTGATGAGCACGGCCGCCAGCACCCCTGGCGAGGGCGCGCCGTTCTTGAGCACCAGCACGCCGATGAGCATGGTGACTAGGGGCAGGCAGCGCTTGAAGACCACGTACATGGGCAGGCTGAGGCCGCGCAGCGACCAGAGAGTGAGGCTGGACTGCAGCGTGGAGAGCACCGCGACCCCCGCGAAGGAGCGAGCCAGGCTCAGGCCGAAGGGGGGCACGGCGATGAGCCCCAGGCGCCGCAGCAGCTCCAGGCTCAGCGCCGCGGTGGAGCTGGTCAGGCACTGCACCAGGGTCAGGAAGGAGAACTGGTAGCGGCTGATGAGGAACTTAAGCAGGATGTTGAGAGAGCCGGAGAAGACCCCGTGCGCGATAGCCACAGAGATGCCCAGCACGCGGCCCCGGCACAGCTGCCGCATCGCGCCGGCCCCGCCGCACTCGGCGGTGGCGGAGCTCCGGACTGGAGGGAGGGGAGCAGAGGCGCGGGGCGAGGGCGGCGGGGGCGCGGGCTCGGCGGCGGGGCGAAGCGCAGGGCAGGGAGCGCGGGCTTGGCTGCCGAGGGCAGCTCCAGCCCGGCGTCCTCGCAGCTGGGTGGCTCCGCGTGTGACTGCCCCGCAGCTCCGGGGAGGCGGGGGCGGGGGACTCCGAAAAGTGACAAGGGTGGGGAACCGGTCTGAGAGGAGTGGCGGGAATCCTGGCCACCGCGACTTGGACGTAGGTGAGCAGCCGGTCGAGCCGTGTCCCGTGCGGATCCCCGGGTCAGGCAGGACGCTCTGCAGAGTGCGGGCTGGAGACTGGTCCGCTGGGGCGGCTGCCCCGGGTCGGGATGAATCTGCGCCCCCCTGGCATCCAGTGCCCACCTGGGTCAGCTGTCGGGCTGCGGCTCCTCCTTCCCTCCCACAGCGGCGGAACAGTGGGGTGCGGGCTGGGGATCCCCTGCACAGCAGTTAGGAACAACAGTGCTCCAGAAATGAACACCTTTCATTGGTCGCAACAAGTGACGGCGCCCCCAGCCCGGTGGCCGCGAGTTGCAGCGGATTTTCCACCCACGGTCTCTCCTGGCGCTGCACGGGAAACAGGCACGTCGGTGCCGGAGGGCGGCGGGGGACCCTGACGCTCAAGAAAGATCCCAGTGCCTTGAAAGAACCCGCTGCCACGGAATGCTTTGTAGCCCGGAGGCTGGACTGTTCTGGTGCCAGAGGATGAGCTTGGACTCTGCGACCTTCCTAGGAAAGGTCCCTGGATCATACATGGCCCTGTGGGAGCTTTCTCGCGGAGGATGGCGTCTGGGAAGCAGATCGTGGGAGTGGAGGGTCACATTTAATTTAGACAAAGAGAGAAAATAGGCCGAACAGCAGGAACTGGGAGGAGAGGGACAAGCAGATAGTATTAGCAGTGGAGGATCTTGGAAGGGAAGCAGCCCCGGAGGAGGGGGGGATAGCCCTGGATGCGTGATACAGGCGATCAAGTAGGTGGGCACAGCAGCAATGGACCTCAGACACCCCACCCTGTCAGGAGATTCCTGAAACGGTTTTTGGATCCAGAGAACCGGCTGCAGCCTGCTAGACAGTCATGGGCAGCTTTGGGGCGTAGGATGGTGTGGGTGAGAGGTTATGTGTTCCTCCCTGTGATCCCCACCAGTGAGGCTTTGATCTAAATTCACTTGCAGGAGGTTATGCTCTGACCCGCAGCGAACTCAGCAGGAACAGAGCTGCTAGCTGGCTAGCTGGGCTTCTCTAAGCGGCAGCCACAGCAGTTTCTCAGTCTGTTTGAAATGTATACCAAGGCCAAGCTGTGGGTGAGAAGTGGAGAGTTTGAGGTCTGTCTTCCCATCTTTCAGTCACTGGGGTCTCATTTGTTAGCCACTGGGATTTTAAACACCACACCTTGCCTGGACACATAGGATATACATTTCCTCAAAATTTAAAACAATTTTTAACACTTCTATGCTGAACCCGATAGTAGAGTACAGATGTAGAAACTGATTATTAGCTCATGGGGGCATGGGGGGGTGGGGAAGAGAAATCACTGGAGCAGGAACCCCAGGCTCACTGCAGCTCCTCATCGGGCCAGCTTTTGTGTTGTGGTGCTTTGTGTTGAAGTGCGCCAGTCCTCAGGCCAGGCTAGCTAGTGCCCAGCACCTAGTACAGCCACCTGCTTGTCCCTGACAGGTGTGCACTCAGGAAAGCCTGGGCCCCCAGAGCTGACTTTGCAGGAAGAAGTCCCAGAGGCATTGTGCTGAGAACTTCCGGTCCCCCGGGAATGCTTTGGTTTTATTACTGAATGCTGTGGTTACACACTATTAGCTATTTAAGAGACTCCAGTTTTCAAGGGTTTAGGAAATAGCGAAGGCTGGAGCAATAATACAAATTGGTTGTGTGGCTTAAAGGTATAGTCAAAATATGCAGAGAACAGAGATCAAGAATGAACGTGACCCCCCCCTTTTTTTTTTAAGATTTTCAATAGTAGATTTTTTTTCCCTCCCAACCACTCCAATTACAGGGCCACTGCTGCAAGACATCCTATTGTAAGCGAATATTATAAAGAAGTGGTTGTACAGACCTAGTTTTGGAATGATTCATTTCTGCCAGCAATTATAATTGCCTCCATTTGTGATACTAACATTAGGTGGAGGACTATGGGCTGACTCAGCTACCTTACCCTTCTCATTTAGGCAAGACTACTTAGCTTAATATCTCTGACCTACAAGGCATGAAGCAGCAGTTTTCTCTGCTGTATTGTATAGAGCTTTCTAGTAGGACCTAACAAATGTACCCCATCTCCAACAAAGTTAGTTAATAAGCAAGTTCCCAAAGAAAACCAAGAAATAAGGATAAAGATCATAGTATAATTTAGTAAGAACCGTTGAACCAGAATTTGGATCTGAGGTCACAAAGCCATTTGACCAATTGGTATCAAGTTCCCAAAGGTCTAGACACAAGCTCTTTATCTTTAGAGCTACTCAATAAATATTGGTGGCATAAAATCAATCTTCTAGTTCATTCATTCAACAAACATAGTGGGCAAATATTCTGTGCTGGGTAGTCTGTTAGCCAGAGGACTCCAGGATGAGCACTCAGCTTGTCCTTGGGGAGCCACATGTGGGGGAGGGGCATCACCAACAAGAAATGCAGCAGGGAAGCCTTGCAACAAGAGACAGGGGCCCTGGAAGGCAATTACATCAGCTTGACAGGGAGCACAGATGGCTTTCTGGAGAAAGAACTATGTTTCTAAATAAATTTACTTTATCATTTTTAATTGTAAATGTGGCAATGCTCATCCATTGTAGTACATATAAAGAAAGCAAGCTATAAATAACAAGAAAATGTCTCCTCAGTGTTTGGGACCCTCCACCCACCTCTGCTCACAGCTGGCTGCCCCGTAGTCTTTTATTCATGTAGTCTTATACAAAGCCTTCTCTAAAAAATAAAATTGGGAGATTGTTCATTTGTACATACACTTTGTCACAATCCGCTTTCTAGGTAGTTCCATTCCCAATGGGGTCCTGTTTCCTTATCCACACCCTTGTCATCTTCACTGGATTGTCGTTGGTCTTGGTGACCAACAGAGCACGGCAGGAATGAGTATGCCACTCTGGAGACTACAGTCTTGGATTTCTCTTTACCCCCTCAGAGGGTGTCCAATGGCTTCTCATAGGGACACCTCACACAGCCTGTGAGGAGGTCACATGGTGACTGGAGAAGAGTTTCAGATCCCCACTGCTGAGTGGTGAGCTGAGCACCTTGCAGGTTGGACTGTTAGCACACTCTCAGATGGCTGTACTATAACATGGCCCTTTTACCCCACCCTTCTCCCCTCCCCCCCCTTCCTTCTCTTCTTCCCTATACTGGGAATTGAATTTAAGAATCTCACACATACCAGGCAAGCGCTTTACCGCTGAGCTATACCCCAGCCCTGTGGCATTTAGGTTTTACCAAACACTGATATGATATGATCCCTTACACTTCTTCCTGGACATCCTAAGAACACTAGAAGTGGAAACGCTGGGCAGAGAGAAAGTTGCCATACTGACCTGTTGCCAGACTGCTTACCGGAACCAGTGCGAAACCACGCTCTTGGTTTATCAGTATGTCAAATGCATGCCAACACATTATGCAGAAAAGGGGAGAGACCTCACTTTCATTAGAGTTTCCTTAGCATCAGTGAAGAACAGTCAAACATTTTGAAGCATACCCAACATTTGCCTTTCTACTTCTGTGAACTCTCCATTGATATCCTCTTCTACTTTTGTGTTTTCTTATGTAGGATTTTTTTTTAAAGGGATTCGATATTTTTATTTATGTGTAATTGTATGTGTTAATGCCATATGTGTCCTGGGTACCTGAGAAGCCAGAAAAAGGGTTTGGATCCTCTGGGACTGGAGTTACAAGCAGTCGTCTCAAAGTGGGTGCTAAGAACCAAACATAGGTTCTCTCTGGAAGAGAACGAAGGGTTGCTAGCTGCTGGACCATCTCCCCAGTCTCTGTCTAGTGATTTTTAATGGTTCTTTATAAATTCTGGATACTAGGGCTAGGGAAGATGGCTCAGTCATCGAGCCATAATCATGTGGTCCCCAGAACCCATGTAAAAACAGTCAGATGTGGTGGTGCACACTTGTAGTCATATCATTGGGGAGGTGGATACTAACCCAGGTGATGGTTTGCGCATACATGTGCACCTGCCCACACATGAACATGCACTCACACACACAATAATAAACTCGGGCTATTAGCTAACAGGGGTTAATACATCCTTTAATGTAATCCCCTTTGATGTTATCTCTCCATTAGCTCTGCTGTGTGTTTGCTATTTTAGAATTTGCTGTCAATCTTTTTCTTTAGTCATTTCATGTAACTTTCAAAGTGATGAGTAAGAACTTGCCAAGCCAAAGACAGAACACCAACGATACACAGACTAGCTGGAGTAAAGATAGAATTAAAAACTTGCCATGATTTCCACGGGCCTCTGTGAACATGCCAATGTTGCTGGAGAAGCCTTGCTACCAGCAGCCACCAGGGTGGAGCTGTCTGGTTAGTGGCACTGAACTATTCTTATAGGCAATCCTGCAGGCAGAGAAAGATTTTACACTGAAATTGAGATACTCTGGTCACATTTTAGTTGAGTCTTTGGCAGTGGCACAGAGGAGGGTGGCTCTGGAAGCACAGAATTAGAAATAGAGTAACTACTTAAACACTGGCAGCAACTTGTTCAGAGAAACTGGGGTGTCGGTACTTGGGTTTAGGAGTAAAGGACAGGACACAGTGTGGGGAGGGCCTAGGAGTTGGCATGTAGGTCTTCAGCTGACCTACACTGATGTTTATCTTGACCCTTCCTTAGCACACTTCGGGGAGCTGCTGCTTTAGTGGGCCAGATGATTTTGGGCGGAAGAAAACAGGTTCACAGGCCTGTGAGAGAACAGGCAGGGGAAG